CCAGATAAGCACTTAAACATCTAGAAGTGATTCTATATGGATATTCATTTCTCTCACTCTTGGGGCTAGAATGTGAACTTCCTGACATCTGACACTGCTTCTGGTTCATTTATCCTAGCATCTAGACCAGGGTTGACAGAACAAATAGATCTTTGTGCATATGAATTTATTTATTTTTAAAATACATGCCAATTAAAAGTGTTGGCTTCCAAAGATTTTGTTTGGGATACTGATGTGCCCTTCAATGATACTATGGTAAACTAGGGGTTAAATTGCTTTTAAAATCTCCGAAGACTTCTGATGGAAGAGGCCAGGTATATAGAATATCAAGGAGCTTGTCTTTGAAGGACACAGGTAACAACACAGAACAAGTTTCAAAGAGCTAAACAAATTCAAGCTAAAGAGAGAATAAGTTTAAATTGGGTCATTTTCCCTCGAGATTATTACAATTTTACAGGTAATGCTGCTCCCAAAAATGTTAGCTTTACCTTTCGTCACCCTGGATGTGACAATGTGGGGCCCATCATTAATCAGGATAAGGCATTACAGATCTGGGTGCTATTACTCCAGGTTTGTTTGTCAAATGGATTTCTTTGCAGAAAGCGCTGACCTGTGACCATGTGATGTTTGGATTGCGCTCCAGAGCAGGGGCCAACTGGGCAAAGCCTTTGTGGTTCATAAGCTATTTTATTTCTGCAATTGAATTTTGAATTTTGAAGTCCAATAAGTTTGATTTCTTTACAAGCATATATATATATATATTTTTTTTTACCTGCAGAATAGTTTGAATTTAAATTTCAGGGAAGTAAGTTTGTGTGTAATTTGCGTTTTTAAAATTAATTTGGATTGAAAACATTTCATTATTCTGAAATGTTTGGTGATAGCAATTAATAGCAATTGTGAAGCTAGAGCTGCTTGCTCATAAACGGGGCCATTATTGGATTTCCTCGTGTCTTGATTGACAGATAGTAGAGATACACCTGTAGCATATTATTATTATTTCTCCTCCTCCTCCTCTTCCTCCTCCTTCTTGTAGTGATTCTGGGTACCATCATCATGGAATATAAAACTGGGAGATACAGAAGTAGAGAATTTAGCTCATGTGTTTCAGTGTAATTGATTTGAATACCTCCAGCCAGAATGTGTGCTTATGGGGAATTAAAGGATCAGCAATTTACAAATGTTGCCATTATAATCGGATCTGAAAGAGAAATGAGTAGGACCTGCTGAGTGATACTGTGATGGGGAATGTATCTTTGACAGAAACCCCAAAGCCTAGCACTCTCTGTAACATTAAAAGGAGTGGGTGTGCTCTGCTGGGTGGAAAGCCACCCGTTCCAGGATCCGAATTATAAAAAGAATCATAACTACTGCTACTTCCTGAGCATGAGTCGTGTGCCAAGCACTCTGCTAAGAATTTGTCTGCATCCCTTCATTTAAGAAGCCCAATGTGGCAGGTAGCACCGGGCTGTTGGCCGTCCACCTGGCATCACGGTCACCTGTTGCTAGGTGTCCTTTGCACTGGGGAAGAGGAGCTGGGGAACTACATTTCCCAGAATGCCCTTCTCCATGTGTTTCCTGTCCAGAGAGGTGCTCGAGGGAGAGTTGAAGAGTGGAGAAGGCTGGGGGGCCATTATTCTTGGAAAGCAGTCTCAGGAAAGTAAGTAGGCAGGTGTGATGTTGAAGGACCTTCCACCTGAGTGTCAGGAGAATCACCTGCCTCCTTGTGGCAGCCTGGGAAGGTCAGTGGAGATTCCCAGGGTAAGGCTTGGGGAAATCCCTGCTGTTACAATGTAACTGAGGTGCTTGGTGGTAGCTTCCCCAATTGTGGCTTTCCCAGCCCTCCTGGGTGCTAGGTGGAGCCTCCCAGCACCTCTCTTTTTCCTTTCACTACATATAGCAGCATTATTCTTCTTTCTGTTTTTTTTTCTTTTTGCAGATGGGTAAGCTGGGGTTTAGAGGGTGTGTTGCCAAGCACACACGGAAGACAGCCAGGTGGGATTTATTCCCGGGTTGGCCTATTGCACTTCTTAATTGCAAGGCTCCGACCCCTCGGAGCCTCGTGCTTGCTCCACCGCAGCACCAGAGCATCCTGTTACCTCTGACCCTGAGCATGCCTTTTAGAGGCAGGGTCTGCCATTTGCTGGTCCACTTAAACTGCCGGGTCACCAGCCAACTCTGGTTGCTCTTTTCTTGCTAGAGACCCAGACAACCTCTGGGGTTTAAACTTGTAGATGAAAATCAAGAAATATATTTTCATGGGAGGTTTTTGTGTTCATGATTTTAGGGATAGCTACAGTTATTCCTCAGGGGTGTGCACTTGAAGGTTACAGGCGGAGATGTTAACGTTGCTTTCATCAGAGGAGAGAGAGAGTGGGAGGTGACCTGGGAAAGCTGGTAATTCATAAATCTTTCCATGGCCACAATCAGCATGGATTGGTCTTGTAATTTGAAAAATACCCTGTAAACAGCCTGAATATAAAATCAAAAGATATGTCTGCCTAGATACCATGTCATGTGGCATGATGTATGGAGGGGTGACAGCAAGATGACAACAGACATCTATAATGTCACACGGTGTTTTAAGTGATGGCACAGGACTTGTGTATGTAGAAGTGGGAGAGCAGTGGCTCTCACATCTTTGTTTGGCTGGAGAATCTACTTAAATGTCACACAGGACACCAGTATATAATAGTGATATGAGGAAAGCTAATCTGGGTGAAATGACAATCATCCCCGGAGCCTCTGGGCCCCACAGCTGAGAATCTGGTTCCAATACCATCCATTTCCAGCATCCCTTGGGAGACCACCACAGAACCTTAGGCCCCTGAAAACCACCGTTTGACACCTTTTGCCATGTGGGATGGGAGGCAGTAGCAAACCCTGGAAGAAGCCTGTCATTTTAGGCAGAGATTGAAGATTGGTGAGGGTGCACTCCTGCTAATGAAATGCGCAGGCTGATGTAGAAATTAAACAGCCATTTAATAATCGACAGCAAGGAATGGGCTCTCTCACTGGTGGGTCACTTGCGTTCTCTCATTCCTGCCTTTGTGTCTGTCGGGTGGGCTGTGGGGTCGAGTCCGAGGTGTCCGTCCTCACTAATGAGGAAGAGTCGGGCTTCTCTATGGGGGAGAACAGGCTTGAACACTAGCCCGATCCGTGGTGGTCTTAGGAACCTCACGGAACACAGGAGAGAAGGTGTGGGTGAGCCCTGTTTCTCTAACAGAGCCAGCCCCTGCGGAGGGACAAGGGGTGTGTGTTTCGCCTTGACATGTCCTAACCCCCTGAGTCATCTCAGATTGGCAGGCTGACACCGTTAGACAGGGTTGGAACAGAGTGTGGCCCGAGGGCTGCCCTAGCCAGAGGGAAGTGACCTAAATTCATGCCTCCACAGAGAATTGTGAGGTCCCCTTGTCCCACCGGTAGCTCCCCAGGACGTCACAGCAGGAGCACCTGTGGCTAGTCCTGGGCTCCACTATCAAAATGAGTGAAGGAAGCCATTGGTTCCCGATGTGTCCCCAGCGATGCCCTGTACAGCGCTTACTTAATACAGGGGACGGTGCTCTCTGCCTGCGGCCCTAAGTGGCTTTGTTCCCATATCTCAGCCATTTTCTGCTGCTACGAAAAATAACAGACTGTAAATTTATTTTGTCACAGTTCCGAAGGCTGGAAAACTCAAGGTGGAGACGTGGCAGGTTCTGGCTGTCTGGCGGGCTGTGGTCCGATTCAAGATGGTGCCTGAGCCTCGTGCCCCCTGGAGGGGAGGAGCACTGTGCCCTCATCTGGAAGGCAGACGGCAAGAGGAGCAAACTGAAGCCCTGTCATAGGGCACCTGATCTCATTCGCCAGAGTCGACACTCACGATTTAGTCCCCTCTTGAAGCCCTGCCTCTTGATACGGTCACGTTGGGCAATAAGTTTTGGCTTTTGAAATTTGAAGGGGAGACCTGTTAAAGTCAGAGCACCTTCTCTCCACCTGAACGTGAAGCTGGAGGCCCCATCTAAAGCTGGGCTTGGAGACTGGAGGCCCGGTGTCCGTTCTCAGGATCTCTGGACATTGTGCTGGTGACTCAACGGAGCAGAAATCTGTTGAGGTTTAAAACCTCTGTCAAGGGACTCATAGGCTATCCCAGAGCTCAGCTATGCCCTGGGAAATGCAGCGAGCAAGAGCGGGTGGGCTCTCTGAGCTCCTCATCGGGCAGGATGGGTGGACATGGGGCAGGGAGAGGAGGTAAGGGGCAGTGAGTCCCGCAGCTTGACTTGTGAAGATGGGCCTGAATCTGAGAAGCATGGTGCAGTGGGTAGCTCCGTCTTGGACCAGCCCTAGTGTAGGTATCTACTGTCAGCTCGGTGCTCAGCATCTGCTCAGAGGAAGCATCTCCAACAGGCCCCAACACTCACTCTCTTCTTTCTCCTCCTCCTTCTTTCTCTCCTTCTTCAGTGATTCTTCAGAGAGACAGAACCAATTCAGTATATAAAACAAGGAATTGGCTCAGATTATGAAGACTGAGAAATGCCAAGACCCCTCGTCAGTAAGCTGCAGAGCTGATGGTGTCAGGGCAGCCTGAGTCTGAAGTCAGGGGAGGATCCTGATGTCCCAGCTAGAAGACAGTCAGGCTGACAGAATGGATTCTCCTTGGCTTCTGTTCTAACCTGGTCTTTAATGGATTGGGTGAGGCTGTCTGCTTTACTCTGTCTACTTATTCAAAGGCTAATCTCACCCAGAAACACTTCACAGACACACCCAGAATAACATTTAACCAAATATCTGGGCACCCTGCAGCCCAGTCAATTTGACATACAAAATTAACCATCCACAATCATCATCCTCATCATCCTCCTCATCCTTGCCAAAGATCTCTTAAGTACCAGATCAAGGGTTGGCCTTGGTGAGAATTTGTTTTGATTTCCAGTTGCCACGGGAAGACTTCAAGCAAGAGGATGACGTAAGCAGATTCACAGGGAAGAAAGACCCCTCTAGCAGCTGTAGAGGTGGGGAGGCCTGTGAAGAGGCGATGGCAGCAGGATAGATAAGAGATAATGGGCTTAGGCTAGGGGCTCTGGAGGTAAATTGGGTAAATCATGTGGAGGAGATTTGAGGAGCAGATTTGCAAGGGTGGTCGGTAGTAAAATCAAGTGTTACCTGCTGAATGTTATCTTGGATTTCCATACAAGATGCCCTAGTGAAGACTGGAACTGGCAGTTGGATATAGGAATCTGAAGCTCAGAGAAGACATCTGCCTGGGGACAGACATATTGGAGACACCAGCACACGAATAGTACTTAGGACCATGGGATAATATGAGATGTGGTAGTCAGCTCTCAGTAGGTTGTGCTGCAGTAACAAACAATCCCCCAATACTCACAAATCCCAGTGGTCTATAAGCAACATGTGTTTACGTTCCTCTCACTTACTATCTGCAGGGCGAAGCCAAGTCCCTGCTCTGTATGTCTTTTTTATTTTGACAGACAAATAGAGGGACTAGGCCTCTCTGACTAGGCCGTGTGGTTGTAAGGCACAGGAAAAAGCAAAGACAGAACATGTGCTATCCCTGGAAGGTCTTGTTCAGATGTGGCACATGTCACTTGTGTGCACACTCCATTCACTGAAGCCTAATGTCCTCGGACGGAGCCTGATGTCAGTGGGGTGGGGGACTACAACTCCTCCAGCAGGGGATGGTGGGGGAACTCAGGTCACAGGGAACAATCCAGGAGGGCAGCAAAGAGCTGGCCTCATTGGAACAGAGGACTGAACGTCATGCCCGTGCTCCTTGCCCACAGGCTCGTCTGCATCCCCCAACACCAACAGCCCCTGGGCGTGCCTCCACCTGTGGGCCCACCATGCTCTCAGGTAAGTGGTCCTCCTGGTGACAGCGTCCCTGATACATGGTGTAGGGACGTTCTCCAGGCCTTCGGAAGCTGAGCCTGTGTTTCTCCCACGCAGTGCGTCTCCCTGCGTGAATGGCATGTGCTGGCCTGGCTGTCCCCTCCCTGCAGGCTCCATATCCCTTGGAAGGGGGTCTCAGGCTGCTTCTGGCCATCCTTTCACGGGCCTTGAGGTCCTCTCCTGCCCGGGTCTGGAGCTTGCTCACTGCATCTCCAGGCCTCGCCTCCCACTAGAGCTTCTAGTTTAGGGGAAAGGAGGAGAGGGAAGAGCAGCCACCCTTGAAGGAGGACATAAGGGAGCTCCTCTGTCCCCAATTCCCAAAGAGTAAGCAAGCAAAAAAAGATGATCTGTCACCAGAACAACAGAGAGGTGACAAAGATAGGCGTCGATGTGGCTGAGGGCCTGTGCTGGTCAGCAAGGGTGTGGGGGGGTTTTCCAAGGGAGGGAAACACGGTGTCGGGGAGAAGCAGCTGCAGAGAGGAGGGAGCCAAGGTGGGCAGACACCGCTGCACACGGGAAGCCCGGATGAGGCTGTGCTGACGAGGGGCAGAGGGGAGATGAAGGCCCAGAGAAAGGGGGTGTCCCGAGAGCAGGAGGCAGGCGACCAGCCAGAGAAGATGGGAACAGGAGAGCGTTCCTCCCGTGGGCTTTTACTTAGGAAGCTGGGACAGGTCCTAGGAAGGACAGTCCCCAAAGGGTATCAGTCAGGGGTATTGATAGCTCAGTCCATCCCTGTGGCTCTAAGCCAATGTCAGAGGGAGGTGCCCGTCAGCACACTCCGGCTAAGAAGGGCTGGTGGTCAGGGTCCACTAGCAATTCAGTTAGACAGTCCAGCAAACACAGGCTGGTCACCCTTAGGGGCCAGGCACGGTGCTGGGTGTCGGGACTGGAAGAGATGGATGAAGCAGTCCTGCTCCTGACGGGGCGGGCGACACCTTGCCGTGAGTGAACACTGCCATGTAAGGTCTGCTGAGCCCCGGGGGTCTGCATGGACCACTTGCCCCATGTTACAGAGGAAGAGTCTGAGCCTCAGAAAGATTAAGCGACCAGAGTCGGACGGAGCTGGAGTCTGCACACATGGCCGTCGAGTTTCCGAAGGGGTGGCTGTAGCCGGCCATCCTTCCTCGCATCTCCGCACCGCAGCAGAGGACTGGGGGCTGGCGGTGCACGGGTGCTGCTGTCTGAGGAGGTGTCAGAAAGGAACGAGAAGGACTGGAAGAGAGAGCAGCTGGGCAAGGGCCGCTGTCCGGCTTCATCTCCCCTCGTTTGTCCCTCCTGAAGTCCTGGGATCCACCATTTCTGGTTCTCTCTATTGGAGGATGGTATTGAAACCAGGGTGTGGGTGCTCAGGGTGCCAGTCACTATGGGGATGTCCGTGCTCGTCGGCGCTCACGGCAGGCAGGGCCGGGAGACAGATGTTATGTCTTTGTGTGCGATACACATACGTGCCGACCTGTACTCATACGTGCGGGCACACACACTTCTCCAGTGAAATCTGAGCCTGCTTCTCTTCCTTACAGACAACGGCTCACCCCGTACCACCCAGGCCCTGGGCTTCCCGCAGCCGTCCCCTTTCCATGGCCAACATTTTGGCAGCCCTGGCAGGAGCCCACTCAGTGACCACAGGTGCTGGAGCTGTAACTGCCGTCTATCCTGCCGGGACAGGGACTGCCAGGGATGCGCTCTCAGCCGATGGAAATGGCTCTGATCGTAGACAGCAGGGGACCTTGTCTGCCTTGGGACCTGCAGGAAGACCAAGTGAGGTCTCTCAAGTGCCCAGAAGCCTGACGCTGTACTTGGACTTAGGGGAGGAGGTCTGAGCAGAGCTGGCCGTGGCTGGGGCTGCTCAGGAAGCCCACCTGCACCCCAGCCGTCGGGGCAGCCGATGGTGGGGTTATTGGAGAAAGCATTCGAGTGCTCCGGGCTCAGGGCTCGGTGCAGCAGGCTCCCCTCCACCTCCTCGTCCTCCCCCAGCTCCTGTTGCAGCTTGATGGCGGGGGGTGAGGCAGTGAGCAGTGGGGGCCACGGGGCCAGCACCATCACCTCCCAGGAGCTCTGCAGCCCTGACTGCAGCAGAGAGACGGTGCGTCTGGCAGAGGGAAGCCACCAGAAGGCAGAGGAGGGGATGCCTGAAGTCAGGAGCCAGGGACTGGGAGGCCCACAGTATTGCCAAGTTCTTCTTTAGGACCACCCCTGCCTCACCTGGGTGTCCTCGCTTTAGCATCGGCCTTGAGGGAGCACGGCAGGTACTCGAGGAGGGACCCAGTGTCCCGAAGCACCCAAGGAGGCAGGGAGGAGGGAAACTCAGGCGGGCCACCTTTCCACAGCTCCGGCTCCGAGCCCCGTCTAACGGTGTCATTAGGGAAAGCCCTGGACCCCCATTCAGCATCTGGGCACTGGTCCGGGTTGGTCCAGATGCCTGTGTTCATCCGTCTCAGGGATAACGGGTAACGAGGTCCCAGTCTGGGGAGAGGACAGCCACTCGGGGTCATCGCTGTGTGCCCCTGGGGATGGGCTTGATCCCACTAAGTCCCTCCGGGTGGATCAGGGTAGACCCTGGAGACTGGGGCTGCATCCTAACGTGCACCCTGGGGGGGGCGTGCAGGGATCCTGGGGGGCCTGTGCATTAGCCCTTTCACTTCCCGCAGCCTCTTAAAGCGCTTTCGGAAGCTCCTCCCTATAGAACCACCTGTGTCTGGCCGTCGTCTTCGAGAGGGTACACGTGACGCACGGCTTTCTCCCTGAGGGCCACGGAGCTCCACATCACATCGAGTCCTTTTCGGAGGTCACCTTCCCGTCCCTGAAACCTCTTCCTGCAGTGGCCTCCTGCTGGCCGGCTGTCCCTGCAGGTGGAGTTTGATGTCTGCCCTCCACATTATTGTCCCCACATTCCTGTGTTGACAGCATAAACCCAGAAACCAGAAAGCTGTTGTGCGTCGATCCTGCCGGCGCCTCCTGCCTCCACGGACCGTGTGGGGCTCACCAGCCCCGGGCGCCCTGTTGGGACCCGCAGAGCCGGAGCTCGGGCACTTGGCCCAGGCTCTGCCCTGACGAGGTTTCTTTTTTTGGTAAAACCTACACTTTCCTATTTGTCCTCTCTTGGCCTGGCATTGAAGAGCCAGGATCATCCAACGCTGGATGAGTTTTCTGGTTCCGCCTCCTGTTAATCCCCACTCTCCGCGGTCCTCCAGGTTTCCATCTGTGTGCCTGATGGCATTGAAGGTCTTGTCCTTTATTGGTTGATTTTTAAAAGTCTGATCTCTCTGTTGATTGGTTGAGGTACACCCTGGCTCTTTGGCTCACCTGTTCCCACTTCCCAAGTGTGGAAATCTTCCTCCTCCTGCGAATGTCACCTCTTCCGGGAGTCTGCCCTGTGCTACTCCTCCTGGGCGACCTGGCTCACAGCTGTCCTCTCTTTGTGGGACTGATGGCTGACCTGGGGGACTAGGTGTGGGCTCACCTGTCTCTCTGGGCCCTGAGTACCTTCTCCTTGTGGACAGGGACTGTGCTTATCTGTCTCTCGTGTGATAAGCCAATGCACACTGTGGGGAATAATCCAAAACGATTGCATTGAATCAAACAAAAACATCTCCCATGGATTTTCTCCCTGTCAGTTGGCTCTGTTTGTTCTTGCCCACAACTCACCTGCTAATTCATAGTGTGGTCCAGACACCAGCCACTGCAGCAACAGGGAGTGTGTTAGAAATGCAAAATCCCAGGCCCCACCCCAGGCTACTGCATTTTTTAACAGGAAGTCTGATTGATTCCTATGGGCATTGCTCTAGCCTATTTGCTGAGGGCTGGGATAGTGGGGGAAACAGGATGGCCGAGTACAGCTGTGCAGGTTCTACACTGCACAAATGTACCTGGCGGAGGCGCTGAGCGGGGGGCCAAAAGCCAACCTGAAGGCCAAGAGGTTTATGTGAGCTGTTAGTCCAGAGAGGATGCCTTCTAAAGACCTGAAAAATATGCACACTTTGTGTTCATGCCCTTCTGGCCTTCTTTCATTTCTTCAGGTACGTCGTGTTTCTTTGCTCCCTGGGCCCCCGTCCATCACCACCTCCCGTTTAATCCTGCCAGTTTCAGCTTAAATGTCACTTCCCCCGGAAACCTTCCCCTCCTTCTCCAGATGACATCAGCTCCCTGGGTGTTTGACTCCAGAGCTCCTTGTACCCCTTCATGGCATTTAGCTCCATTTATCATTAAATAACTAATTGCATAATTAGCTCTTCTGGGCCCGGCTCGGCCTTCTCTGTGAGGTAGCTGCCTGGAGATCCGGCCCCGGCTCCTGGCTCGCTCTTGGCTCACAGGTGCTCAAAAAAACCATTTGTGGGCTGAATGACAGAGACCGTGAAGACACCAGCCAAGGATCACAGGGCCAGCCCGGTCTCTGCTCCACTGTCGTGGGAGTTTCCCACTCCCTGGGCGTGGGCCCGGGCCACACGGGTACGGCGACCGGCACTGGGTCCTTTTCATCTTTCTTTTGACACAGGCCTCACTAAGTTCCCAGGGAGGCTTTGAACCTCTGATCCTCCTGCCTCAGCCTCTCGAGGTGCTGGGATTACAGGCGCGTGCCACTGCTCCCCGGCACCCTGCCGTCTTCCTGATGTCCCTGGAAGCTCCAGGTCCCCCACGTGAACAAAGAGATTGGCCAAAATCTGCTCCTGAAATAGACCTAAAGCGCTTCCCCTCCGTTTCCTCCGGCGAGGTCTGAGCTTCTGTGCTTTGTTTCACCAGATACGTGGCCAATACGAACCTTCCCGTTTCCTCGCCTGGCGATGGGTGTGGAGGGAGGGGTGGCGGGGCAGAGAAGAGCCCCCAGTTGGACATTCGACTTGACTCCAGCCACTAGGTGACTTTGGGGATGTTCTTTCCTTTTTATTTTCCATCTATAAAAAGGCCAGTTGGGCTCGATCAAGGACAGCGACCGGGCAGCACGCACCCTCTCCTTCCTGCTCGGGATC